GATTTTTTTTTCATTAGTTTTTATAATTTTTTATTAATTTTCTTACCTTTCGGTGTAACAATAAACATATACCGAACCGAACCAAAAACCGTGACCACGAAACCGTGAACCGAACCCCATGGGTTCCACCCCTAATATATATATATACATATATATATATATATATATATATATTTTCTTCGTTAAGTTCAAGAAGAGATACAAGTATTTTCGTGTTTAAAGAATAAGCAGAATTAAAGGTATATATATTTATTTATTTATTTATTTTTATATGGCATGAGCCTCTGCTTGGCCCGGATGTGGAGGAACCAGCATCCCTTCACCTCTCCACGTTTCCAAGTAGCAGAGCCCATTGACATGGTAGCAGCCAGCGGGGAGCTTCATCCCCCACTTCACATCCATTGGTGAGCGGGCCCGCCTATCAGAGCTAACCGGGTTCCGGGGTATTCCCTCTGCAGGAAGTGGTTCTCTTTACGCAGTCCTCCATTGGACCGAGCCGCTGTCAGTCGGGGCTGCCTCACGTTGAGCCCTGTCCTCCTCCCCGGCTCCGTGTCTGCTCAGACAGCCCTCATATTGGCTGCTCCAGGCAGGGAAGAGGAGCCCCACCATGATGAGGACCTGGCTGTCGCGGCGTTTAAAAAAATCAGTTTAGCTTTTAAATCACTCTACCTAGTGTTTTTGGAGATATATTTATTTTAAAATACATCCGGGATGATACCATCAAGTAACTGTTGTAGTTCTGCGCTTTCGTCCGACGCCGTGGTCCTCTGGGGGGATCTATGCCCGACTTTTCTTCATAGCCATTTTTTTCAGACAAAGAGAGCCGTTGAGTAGGGCTTCCAGAAAGCACCCCGGTAAGATCCACATTCAAGAAGCTACTCGCATGTGCATAATTCTACTATCGTTTCACCAACAACCGAAAGGCCGCACTACACTAACTGGTTTTATTTTTACATTTTTTTCTGTCGTTGGTTGTCATAAGCTAGTATGCTAACCCTGCTAGCTAAAGCTAACTGAAATGTTAAATTCCTATTCTAAAAATGCTAGCTGTTAGCATTTTGCCGCTAACTTTATTGCAGTTTTAGACGAAAATAGGTCATTTTAAATCTTATGGGGCCTTCGTTTGAGACACCCAGGCCAGTTGGACAAATATAAGGGCCGATAATGTTATCTTGGGTGTGTAGCTACAATCTACGGTGTGCTGGGACTGTTGTCGGTCGACAACGGGCTTAGCAGCTCTGCTAACTTGGCAGCGACAAGGGGGAAAATGGGGCCTCCAGAAAGCCAAAGGCCTCCATACAATTTCTGTACACCCGCTATTATCGTATAATTGCTTTGTGGATGCCTTTTTACTAACATCCAGGTGATTTATATAGCACCAATTCACAATCAAACATATTTCTAGGCACTTTAAAGAGGCATGATTTGGAGTTAGATTCAGTCTGATTTTGTTAGTTATTTTAATCCAGTCTTGTTTGATACAGATACGGCCATTGGTATTAAACCATCAGTTATTCCTTACAGTGGCAGTGAGTAAGAAGTGCAAATGCAGTAGTTAATTTGGGAAGAGGGGGTCATCCAATCGGGCATCCAGTGCTTTCTGTATTAGATGGCACAAAAAGATTGTTTTATATCTTAGAATTTCATAATCTATTGGTAGATTTAAATAACAATTCCGTATTCCAAAAATATCTGCCTTAAAGCTATGAATATCCATCCACAATGTGGAAAATGAAGCCTGTAAAATAAATATACCTTCAAATTGTGGAAGCTTGTGTAATAAGATTGCAGTTTTAAATATAAAATAGGTCTTACATCAGTTGAGTCACTTTTCTGGTGATCCAACAGAATCATGAGTTTGGTTTTTAGTGTCTTGCTCATAGCACCTGCATTGCTGAGGTTTGTAACTAAGTATTGCCTAAAACCATCTTATTGTGTCCTGATTTTGATATACTTTCATATTTTAGACCAATATTGGTTTTGATAACCCTAAAATAACTTGAGGCGCCACACTAATCTTGTAGTGATGTAGTCATGCACAATGTTGATTCTGCAGCTAATTGCATAATATGCTGATGTGGACTGCTGCAGATTGCAGGCAGGGGGCGATCTTTATGCTTTGCAATTTTACAGAAAAAAAATACTTTTAAATAAAGTGTTGAATATGCCTGAATATATATGCACCTTTCTAATTGTGTTGAAGGGGCTTTCAACTAATCGCACTGACAAATACGCACACGTTCATTCTTTACTTTCACATGGCTAGGCTGAAGACTTGAGTTTTAGTCGTTGATCGCTGATCAGGATGGAAAAGGTGTAAAATGAATAACTAATACAATTGAATTGCAGGGCAAAACCATCTTTTGGTGGGATTTAGATAGGCTCTGATCAATGATTGGGTGGCCAGTTGTGGGAATTTATATTTATTTGTGCTTAGATGCATCAAGACTTAAGAACTTCAATAATTTTTGCTTTATAAATGCATATACCAACAATATTTATTTTCTTTTTACCTTTGAAGTAATTAATTCTCTCTTCGGCCAAAAGCATCCTCCACTTGGGAAGCATCAGAATATTTTTATATATATATATATATATATATATATCTCCTCTGGGTTTTTTTTTAGTGTTTAGAAAGAAGAATCTAAATCATAGAAAACCAAGTATTAATATCAGTCAGAATATCAATACAGCTTTAGAACCTGTATGGTTGACAAACCCAGCAACTAACATTAACTAATTATTTGCATACTATCACTGTAACTAATTAGTTTAGAAAATTCAATAACACTTCACTCATAACCACGCTTTAAACAAATTTATTATTTGTAACTTCCATGTATAAATAAGGAATACAGTTTCCTTGTATAAGCGCACGTTGAGCGATGCGCAACTTCAGCAGGAGCACAGATGAAAGAGCCACTCATTCAGTGACGGCATTCCTACAAAAGAAGTGCTACTGAAGGCTAAATGCTTGTGATCTGCTCATTATGTGCAGGAACAAAAATTTTATGTCAGTTTGAAGCTGTAATTTAAAGAAGCTCCTCCCATTATCTCAACACTGATAGCTGCTGCCTTTAACCAACACACGTTCTTTACTTTCTCTGAGCTATAATGATTTTATTTGCGTGGTTTGTTTTCTACCGCAAAAATTCAGAGATCATACAGTTCTGCTAGTGTTTTTATTTTTACTAAAATAGTGTACACTTGTTTTCTCTATTGCAAAAGATATTTTGTTTTTATTAAATTGCTTAAAAAGCACTACTTTGCAGCTTGATACTTATTTTATTGTCAATTGAAGGCTCTCGGTATGAAAAAATATAAAGTTCTAAAACATTTTTTTATTTTATTATAAACAAGCAACATCACATCTTCATAATATTGCAACGCACTTGTCAAACCCACACTAACAAAAATAGTACAGCTTAGTTTTCGCTTGTGTATACACTGAAAATAATTAATAACAATGTATATTCAATAATCAAAGCTCTAGTTGTAATTAAAATCCCAATAATAAAGTTTTCTAAATCCTTCGACATTTTAAAACAAAAAAAAAGCCTCTTAGTTTTTGGGGGGTTTTTTTTCAAAGAGAAAAATTCTCACCGCATTTGAAAAGTATTCTTAGGTGTAATCCCTCATTAATGAAAACCTAGCACTGTTGAGAAGACAATCTTTTTAATTTGATCGAGACTCCACTAGAATAATCCTCAAGCCAATTGGAATGGCTGGGTTTAGGGAATAGTAAAGAGACAAACAAGCTCCAGGCAAGTTTTAGGGTCATTAAAGCCTGGCCTATAATGTGCAGCATTCATATGGCATATATTTTAGCACCGTCAAACTACAGGGGTTTGCAACTGCTGGGACAGCTTGGCGCACATTTAGACATCTTATGATTTAGTTAATTAATATTACAATGATGATAAGATTGTTAAAGACTATATTGTTAAATAAGTTGCTGTGACTCAGGCTTATAGCTAATATAATAAATTAGCTAATACTTCATAGGGTGTATCACGTCTTTAGGGAGTCTGGGAGTATCCTCCCCCAGAAAACGTTGAAGTGTAGACTCTCTGAAACACTATTTTCTGCATTCTGAGGTGGAATGCAGCTTAAGAGCATCTTCACTCCTGAGGCGTGTAAACTATGTACAGATGTTTTTGATGCTTGTGGTGCTCCTGTGTTTACTGGCAGATAGTGACTGTGCTATGTTGCTCTGATAATTGGGTAAAAAGTAGTTTTAATATATATTTTTTTTCATGTTAGAATGTCCAAGTAAAACATTGTGCAGTCAGTTCATTAGGATTATGTTCCTGGCATAAAGTATTATTTCGCTGGCAGATGTGCGCTGACCCCCACGGGCAGTGTGCTGTCAATGGGAATCCCCGCAGTAGCTGCCTCAGGCCAGGTTGCCTCTTGGGTTTTTCTGCAAGCACCAGAATATTAGCGAACAAATTTTGCTAGCAGGTTTTCGGATTTTTAGTTAACAGGGCATCAATAAGCAGTTTCAGTGGAGTGAACTTGGCACTTTGCATCAGGAGCGCTGTAGGTCCCCCTGTCAGCTCGCAGATCAGCTTCTCTGATTGGTTGATGTGGCACGTCAAGCAGCAAAAATTTCCAACTCTAGCGTCTACAGCTTAGGAAATTTTGAACATTTGAGCAAAGTTTCTGGGGGAAAATTAGGGTGTACCAAAGCCATACATCCACAAAACAGGGCGTACATTTTCTAATATTTTAGTAAAGAGCGTACAATATACTCCCATATGCATTGCTAGCTTAAAGACTGCTTTGACTCTTGAAGGACACAGTCGTTTTGAAAACGTCTGTTGTTAGCTTGGGTCTGTAACTATACACCCACCTTAATCGGCTGGAATATTAGAAATGGGAAAAGCTGCATCAAGTATAAAAGCTTCAGACGTGTCCACCTGTCGATACTATGTGCCTCTTGCATGATTTTGCATCTTCAGGTCATACTCTGTGGCAGCTGTATTAGCCGGTTGACATTGTGAATATTGTTTTTTTATTTCTTGCTTAAGTATTGAGAAAGATTTATGCTCAAATGAATAACTCTACAATTTTATTTGATGCCATTGTGTTTTGCTTTTATTTTGCATCCTATCCCTATTGATTTTGATAATTTTTTACTTTGTCAGTATATTAAGGGGGGTTTGATTCCTAATCGAAACGAAATATACAAAAAGATTTTAAACAGCTTTTTCTGTATACTGGATTGTTTAAAGATTTTGGATTACCTCCATAGGTATGTCAAATGAGGTACTTAAGGACCCAAATGTTTATGACTTATGATTGATATTTTCATAAGGACTTAAACAGGATTCCTTTTGAGTACCACGAACAAGATGGGTTAGAGAAACATTAAGTTGTAGTTCTTTGATAGGTACCTCAAGTATAAAAATTGGAATCTGGTTTCAAAGGAAGGTTTGGTCGAAAAAACAAAGTTTTTGGAAAGTATTTAAAAATGTGTCAAAGATGGGATTGGATGACATGAACTGCTGGCAATTTTAGAACTTGCACCTAAAAATGTGGAAGAATTTGAATTAGAATGAAATGTTGGCATGTAGTATGATTCCTTTGCTCTTCAAATGTTTGTGTGTTTATATTTAATTGCCATCCAAGGCATTAATCTATCTTGAAGAACACTTACAATTTAATGCATCCTTGTTTTTAATGGGATTTCAGGGGTTTATATAATAAAACCAGACTTTTGATAAGTTGATTGCAGATTCTTTACTGCTCTCTACTGTCTTGAATATCTAATAAAAATGTAAAGCTGCTGCAAATCTCTAATTGACTCTGTTCTGGTATGAGCAGGGAAGCCATTTTCTACCCAAATCCT